AAAATAGTTACATCTCCCTTGGAAATTTACTTTATAACTTAATCACCTACTGTGTTTATTTGTAAGAATTATAAATATGCAAGTATATATATTGTAATAATGTATAATAAAATTCTGTATTGTCAGTATTTGGTTGACATTATATTTAAATATAGGCAGCAACAAAATTGTATGCTTTTAAGGAGTGACATTAATTTCATATCAAGTCTTAGTAATAGCATAGCTCCCTAAATGAAATACAATGAAGACATGCCTATGTTGTGTTCTTTTTATTTTTTCTTGGATCATTTGTTCAGGAAGTTTGGGCTGTCCTAGGTTAAGAGCAGCCTATATTTCCTCACTCTTTTTCATTTATAAGCTCCCTATCCAGCTTATCCAGGTAAACTATAATGTATCTGAAGTCAGAGCCTATATTATATCCTTTCATGTGTCTGTATTCATCATATCAGATCATAAAGTATAGTAAGATCTCAGTTAATGAAGGCTGAATTGCACTGCAAAGAAATTAGGTCATGGAAAACCTTAAAAATACAATTCTCTTGTTAGACACATCTCCATCTTGAACATCTTTAACATCAACTCCTTTAACAAGGAACTCTTAAGACATGATCCCTCATCTGTCGAGCAAGCTACCAAACAATCCAGCATCACCAATTCTCTTCACTACCTCCAATTCAGCCACATTTAGATAATGCAATATTGGTCCAAGTGATAAGACTCAGTTATCTACACACATTAATTCATTATTCCTCGGGATGATGGCAGTGATGAGCCACCATGTCCAAGAGTGCATCTGGCAGTTTAGTATTTAGCCAGTAATAATGATGGCTCCTTATTGACAAACTCATTCACTTTTTCATGGCCCCAGATCAGTGAAAATAAATTTACAGGTGCCAGGATTTTAAGAAATGTACTTGAACATTGTAAAACAGACAAAGTTTTGGGTAGTTGGGTAGTTTCTCTTCCCCAATTACCCAAGCTACTCAATCTATAAGAAACAAAGCACAAAGTAAAAATAAAGCGTCCCAATGTGTAAACTTTCTTCATGGTGAAATAAGGATTAATTAAACAGGCCAAGGAAATTACAATTTCATTTCTGTCCCATGCCTACTGAAGCCAACGTCTGCCCTAGGTAATGTCTTTCAATTTACTGCTTATAAAAGTTAAAATGAAAGATATTTCTGGTATAATATTGCTACAAAAGAAACTTACACTGTATGATATACAGTTAATAATAAGTGAAAAATAAAATATGAATGTATTAGGCAGCTTCATAACTGTATGATTTTAAAATGTTTCCCAAGCTTAAACAAGAAAGTGACCAAAAGACTGTCGGGGACGGGTTACCATCAGGAAACAGGATCATCCTGTATGACCTTTCTCAGAAACAATGAAGGGGCTTGTTTTATATCATAGAAAGTCAGATCTTGGAACTTTGTTTATTGCCTTGCTTGTTCTTTGACTACTTGCATCTATTGTACTGCTAGTTCCTCAACCTAGAACTGACCTTGATACTTGTGTGTAATTAAAATGGTATAAAAGAAAAAGAAAGAAAGTCAGATACAACATAAAATGAGTAAACCCAGACTCTAATTCTGAATATGTTAATTACTTAAGAACCTTGAATAAATCTTTATTTAAATAATAGAAATGGAATGTCCTTCAAATTCTCTAGTCAACACCTAAAATCTGAGTCATTCATTTGCAATTAAATGGAGTTACTTCTCAAGAAGTCAAGAGTCTCACCACAGAATTTAAATGTCCTTTGTTGGTTTGTGCTTCCCTTTGTCATTTTGAGTGAGGTACTCCACAGTGCAGCACAGGTTAACTTTAAAGGAATAACCTTCCTGTCTCGGTCTCCCAAATACCATAATTATAGGCATGAAACATCAGATGCCCTGAATCAGAATCAGAATCACACATCCTTGAAAACTGTGAGACTTTGAGTCATGAAGCTGGTATTAAAATGATCACTCTGTTTCCAAAGAAAGCTTGTTAATATTACTGTATATACTGATGCTAGAAAAAAAAAAAACACTACAGAATCTTATATAATGTGTTGTTATATCCATTATATTGGGTGATTTTTCTGTTAAGAAAATTTGTGGGTTTTAATATATAGGCATGTGTGAATTATATCATACATAAATGTACATAAAACTGAGTAAGACATTCACCAATGTAAATAAGTCAACATAAGATATTTACCTCCATCAAACATTGTACATTTGTATGTTTATGTATTCATTGTCCAAAATTTTGGTTTTAAATTTGTTTAGAACTTAGTTCATTTAGACAGAGTTCATTTACACGAGTTTGCCTTTGACTTTCAAATTTTAGTGAAATTAAATAATCACTTCACAAAAAGAAGAAAAATGTTGCATTTTTATTCCTGAAATAGAGGCTTGTGAAAGAATCGAGTTGGAAGACAGCTATTACCTAAAATAATGGGATTGTATTCAGTTATCCTCACTTGAGTTAAGCTTCAGTATTCACAGGTTCTTTATTTTTACTCCATGTGCATCATCTTCCTCAGCCTTTATCTCTTCACCTTATGTTCCCAGTAAAACTAAAGACAACTTGTTAATAAAATTCCTGTCATTTACACAATTGTTAATCTCCTTTGCCAAGACAAATATTGACTTTATACCTGTTCTCCTTGGTAGCCTGTAAGTAAGAGCAACATTCCAGTACTGGTTCTCCTGTCTCCTCATCTGTAAGATTTGATTATTTTGCATAGTCTTACTAACTACCGGAACATTAAATCCAGGAGGGCCTTGAGTTCTATATAAGAATCCATAATGAAAAGTCTCTGCTCTATTTTATGACAAATTCATTTTCATATTCATAGAGGGTTCTTAGTCAATGCTAATATTTTGACATAAATTACAATTATATCAGAATACTTTGATTTCAACTTATGCTTACCACAAAAACAGAGCATTCAGCATTACTCTCTGCTTTGATTCATTCAACTGTGATGTATCTATTCAGTGAAGACCCATTATTGTGGAGTATACAGTACATACCAATTACCCCATTGCTACACAAAAGATAAATATCCTCAGAGGGAAATTTAAAAGATCCTCTCATTCATCTTCTAACTCACCTATTGTCCACACAGCATGTCATATGTGAACATCTGCAGCAGTTGCAAACTTAAGTACATAGTTTTGAGTATTTTTCTTAGTCAGACAGTACGGTTAATTAGGCAAATTTCTGTAGAAAACCAGCAGTAAAGTTAGTACACCTGGCCCCTATGAATTTTGATACAGCTGAACACATTTGCTGAAAACCATTGCTGGCCACTCTGTTCCTGCCCAGAGTTCAGAGACAAGGACTACAGAGAAAGCAAAATGAAGTAAAACACTTACTTGATAAGGGAAGACCTGAGGGTTTTAAGGCAATGGTTGGTAAACAAACTCATTGTACATTTGGTCAACTTTCCCCTTCCTGTTTTATATATAGGGAGCATTGCCTGCTTAAGAATAGGACTGAACACATCCTCTCCATCAACTGCAAAGGGGAGGATGGCAAGTCAAGTCTCATTTCCCTTAAATTGCTTACAGTAATATCAAAAAACTTATTCACACAGTCCATTCTTCGATAGGGTTACCCTTCAAAGTTTCTTATATTTTCTTGAATACTCTTCTAACGTTTTTTCAAACATTAACCCTGTGTTCAGTTCTGTGCAGTAAAATGCAACCACAAATTAATATTTCACAAGCTGTTTAAATGTAACTCGTAAGTTGTATGGGATCTTGTTTTACAATAAAAGCACAGAGAAATTTTGAATAGAAATTGTAGTATTTAAATCACCTCCTTTCCTGCTGACAGATACCCTCCACTCCCTCAGTCAGATTCATTCATTGAACACAAGGTTTGTTTTTGTTCAACAAGATAACCACAAACAAATGATGAGCCTGATTTCAGCAGGAAGGACTGCTGCATTCAGGAAGGATGGGAAGAGACTACACCTACACCGCCCCTGAAGTGCATGGTATGGAAGTTCTCTGTACAACGTTCCGCTCTTAGGCAATAAACACAAAAGAAATAAGGGCTTTAACTTACTGAGATTTAAAATAATAACAACAATAATAAAGAGATTGTAAACGGTATCTCTGGTGCCAACTCTTTCGAGAAAAAGCTGCCTATCCTTAAAAGTTGCCGACCTTTGCTGGCTCTCTCTCAGGGAGATTCACAACTGGGCTGTGTAGGTGTGTGTGGGCTGCTCTAGACCTGAAAAAAAGAGACAGATTCTGGGGGAAAAAAAACAGGTAAAATAAGGGGCCTTCCCTGTGTTCAGTCAACAAGCCCCTAGACAAGGAGGAATCTAAGCAACGTAAATAGTTGTGCACTTTAAAACAATGACAAAAAGTTTAGTCCCAAAAGATTTCCTGTTTTTGTCCTCTTTCCATGCTTGATCATCACCTAAATAGCCCAGGTACAGAGACACAATACACAGAATACACCGCGTGTCAGTGTCAGTTTTGAGACGAGTGTCAGAAAAGCTTCAAGACAGCATCATGTGGGAGGAATGAGGTCAGAATTCACTACGACTCTGAGGAGGAACGGGATGGCAGGACAGATGACTCTGTGGTCAGGCTTTGAGGGTTGGTCAGGGGAGGACTTCGTGGAGAAACCTAGGTCCGCACGATACCGCGCGGCAGGAGATGAAATTCAGAAAGACCTGGGGACAACGACGGTAGCAATGACCCTGTTTGAAGTGACGCCAGGCGGAGGCTATCTGCGGCGGGAATGAGAAAGGCAGCGGGAGGGCAGGAGGGTGACAAGGGACTAAGACGTACAAGAAGCTATCTCTGGAAGAGAAAAGGTTCAAGTTCCAGGCTAGTGGAGTTGAAACCAAATGTCCCCGGGGACCTGTGGGAGATCCTGTGTGAGGAATATACCCAGCAGGTGGTCAGGGTGCCTTTCTCGTCTAAGGATGTTCGGTGGGCGCTCAGTTTAGTGCCTGGCCCCCTAGAGTCTCTGGTACTCACCGATCCCAGCGAGGGAAAGCTCCATCCACGGCGCGTGAGAGCAGCACGGCTCGGGCGGGACGAGGGCTGACGGTGGTGGCGGCGCTGTCCTAGCAGTGTAGCCGTAGTCTGTGGGTAGCCAGGAGGCAAGAGCGGCCGCGGAGTCTCAGGGAACCCGAGGAAGAAAGATCGGCGGCTCCAGAGCAGCAGCGCCCCGCGCGCTCTCTTCCCATCTCCGGGGCTGCCGAGGTTGCTGCTGCCTAGAGCAGCCAGAAGAGGGGGAGGGGAGCAGGCACGCGGCAGGGAGGGAGAGCAAAGAAAGCAGAGAGGGGGGGAAGGGATGCGCGAGGGGAGATGGAGATGATCACCGAGAGTTGGGAAGAGAAGGGAGGAGCATAGCTGTCGGGTACAGGTTCCCACCAGAGGAGCTCTGAAATGGACCTGTGGGTCTTGCCCCAATACCCTGTCACTCCATGCTTCCCCCTTCGCGCCCTTTCCTTTGGCTCTGCCTCCGGTGGCTGTGGTTCGGAGTACCACGCTCTACTGCGGATGCAGTTTCAGCAAGCCTCCGCGTGTGTTAAGCCGGGAGGCTGCAGAGACACAGCATTGCTCTCCAGGCCTGTGGCACCTGTGCGCGCACACACAGCCCCTGGTTCCATTGCTACGTCTCCCAGATGCAGACTCTCAGCCTGTCAGCCTCCTCCACTCTCCTTTTCGGTCAAACTGGTCCTAGACGTGCAGCAACCGCATCTGTCGAGTTCCTTATTGCTGTTTTTTTCCCTAGGCGCTATTTGGCACGGACTGTCCAGCCAGAAGGCGCCAGCAGGGAGCTCAATGCGGGCCACCTTCTCCTGTCCCTCTGATCTGCTGCTTGTGTTTGTTCTTGGCTGGGGTTAACCAGCTAAAAACGGGGGGGGGGGGTTAAAACTAAAGATAAGGGAGAATCAGATTTTCTGAAACCACATTCTCAGTGATTTACAAAGGTTCTAAATGTAAAGGGCAGTGCTGTTTGACTTTCCTCTGTAAGGAACATTAAAATATAAATAGGTAGGTAGGTAGGTAGGTGGATGGATAGGTGGATGGATGGATGGATGGATGGATGGATGGATGGATGGATGGGGCAGACTCCACTTTGTTGAGTTTTTGTTTATTTTGTTAAACTACAAATCAATCCTCGAAAATTATTTTTAGACTACAACGATTCAAATACAAATAGAAACTATATTTAGTGCCTCCACTTACACTCAAGAATCAGGAAATGAACTCACACATTTAGTAAATATAACGACAATCAGAGTATTGCTGACTGATTCCTATGAACTTTGAATTTGTTTCATAATTGGAAATAGGCAGCAGGCAGGAAGCAAGTGGATGATGCGAGAAATGATACAGGTAGAAAAAGAAGTCTAGTAAAACTCTTTTCAAATAATATAGGAAGTGTTCTTTTACGTCTTAGCAGAGTACTGGAGAAAGGAGGTGCTAATGTGTGTGTGTGTGTGTGTACGTGTGTGTGTGTGTGTTATATGTGCACCAAGCATGTGCACATGGGCACATGCTGCTTTTTAAAATGTAATAATCTTCATCTGCTAAAAGAGCTTAGTCTCTAAAATAATCTAGACATTTTATTTTACATAATTATGCCTTATATAACAAATGTACTCATATTAAAATAAATGCTTTCTCAGTTATGAATGCAGTGTGAAAAACATTTCTAATGCAACAAGCCAGCCTTAAATATTATTGAAAACCTTCTCTCTTCCTGTATTGTTTTACATGAAGAAAAAGAAAGTTAAATTTTAGTGATAAATTAGTATTTGACAGTGTCTCTAACTTGTTAGACTCTTTCTTGTTGATCCTGCATGTCAATGAAAATATTTGTTTTCAAGTCTATTTTTGATGATCAGAATAAGAGGCCAGTTCAGTAAGGGCCAATGGACCAGACACCCCAGCTTCAAAAAGCATATGCTGCTATGTCCAGATATGTAGCAGTACAGCACACAAATTCACCTACTCTTCATCGGTTGAAGGGCATGGAAGGATACTGACTGGTGGAGCATAACATCTCACTCGGCACTCTTATTCAGAGGGGAATAATAAAGTTTGCAAATGACAGTAACTGTTTACTTAAGTCATGGTTATTGAGAATTAATAAAAATAGAAATTTCTGGTGAAGTGGAGGAAGAGTGGGGCTGGGGGTTTGTGGAGGGAAGATTGGGAAGGGGGACAACATTTGAAATGTAAATAAATAAAATAATAAAAAATACAAATTTCTTCATATATATAATTAGAATATCCCTCATGTTTTTTTTCAATTTTATTTTTAATGAAATGTTTTTCTGTAATTCTCATATAGATGAGAATTTTGGGCTTCCATACAATATATTGTGTTATTACCCCCATCTCTTAACTCCTTCCATAATCTAGCCCTACTCCCACCTCCTTTCATATCCTTTGATTTTGTTTTTCATAGTGTAGTTTAAGTGAGAGGGGCCTCCATAGGCTCAAAAATTTGAATCCTTGGGCCCTGTTTTGTTGCAAGTGTTAGAGGAGGACTAAGGAATACGACCTTATTAGATAAGGCATATTACAAGGGTGGGCAAGAGGTTTTTAAAACTCTCCTAGCATCCCTAGTGTGTTCTCTGCCTTTTGCTTGTAGTCTGAGATGGTACTGGTTTTGAAGGCATGAAGGGGTCATGGAGAGCAGCTAAGGCCTGACACTCAAAAGCCAGAAACAGCCATTAGTGAAGGTGAAGCCTCAATTGCAGCTGATGACTCAGGACTAAAGGGGTCATGCAAAGAAGCTGACGCTTGGCACCATGAGGAGAGACTCTGAGAGGGTTTTTGTGAAGTCTAGTTGCAGTAAAAGACCCCAGCATATTGTAGATGGCAGTACCATGGGACGCCCACCAAGAACAGCATCAGTAATAGAGTGGAGTCCTACAGAGGACAGAGCTGGAGAAGTCACCCAACCCCTTGGAGTAGCCCAGAAGATCATGTGTAGGTTTAAGACATTGGGACAGTAGTTATAAATTGAAGTTGCCTTGGAGACACAAGATGTTAGTGACACTAGAGCTGTGGGATACCTGCTGAGGAAAGCTGCTAGCAGGGAGTAGAACCAGCCAAAGAGAGAGAACTGTGTTATAGTCAACAAAAGTGAAAGGAGTTGGACTTCAGACATGGGTATGCAGAGTCTGGGGTTTTCCCAGCCTGGTTTTTGTCTTGATATGATCCAGAATTTCCTCACTATGACTTTTTAGACTTGTACTGTATATCGTGTGCCACAATATGTTGGAATTATGAGATTTGCTTTTTGCTTTTGATTTTATAGGGGATTACAGTTAAGAGACTTCATGAATCTCAGAAGAGACTTTGAACTAGGGACTTTTTACATTATTGAGACTGTTGTAGACTATGGAAACTTTCGATATTGGACTAAATGTCTGTTGCATAATGCTATGAATAGGTATGACCCCCATAGACTAATATGATTGAACACACCTTTGAGGGCCAGGAAGTGGAATTTGTTGGTTTGAATACGCGTGAAAGAATTATCAAAAATGCCAAGATCAACTGTAAATGTCACTGGAAGGGATGTGTGTGTGAGAGTGGTCCCAATGACATCTTCTTTAAGAATGTACAGACAAATCTGTACTTCAGAAAATTCACTTGGGAATGGAAAATTTATCTTCCTTGGCACGATGTATTCATAAACAAGAACTGGTCCATGATTACAAAATAAAAGGGGAATGAAAAAGCACAGGCCTCACAGGAGTCCACTAAGGCTAGCTGGTCACGTTGGTTGCAGAAGCCTGCATTTTTTCTTCCCCACAATCTCTGAGAGATGTGGTACCACTTGTAAATCTCAGGAAGATGTAGGATATGTAATGATGAGATAAGAACACTGACTGCAAATAGTAGCTGTTTGCTGAGACTTTGGAAATCCTGGGATACTCTTTCCTTTTCTCACTTTGATGAAAACTATGTTGATTTAGTTGATGTTCAGTAGCTAAAAATGGACACAGTATCAATACAAAAACAAGAAAATCCTTGAGAGGAGCTGAAATAAGCCAGTTGTTAAAAATGTTATACTATAAAAATGTTGCTATGGAGAAGTTGCAGAAGTATTTTAATATTCTGACATGAATCTTTATAAAGGCGTAGGAAAGGACTTCTCACTAAGCATAAGAGCCACAGGCAGAAAGGCAAGCTTCTAGAAAATGATGTTGAGAAAACAGTAACTGGTGATGTAGGGGACAGCGCTCAAAAGAGAAGTGGGAGAAGAGGACCAGTGACAAGTTAGGACAGAAAATGGAAGAAAAACAGCATATGGTGGATAGTGAGGTAAAGGATAACGGTGAGGAGAGAAAAGGAAAAACAAACAATCAAAACCAGTGATGGAATATAGAAAAAGAATGAGGGGAGAAAAGCAAGCCAATTTAAACAAATGAAGCCGCAGTAGATTAAGAACTGGTAATGTAAAGAAGAAATGTTTTTAAATTTATTAAGCAAACTTTCTTTAAAATGAAAGGTTTCATTTTTTATGTCAGACTAGAACATTGATTACCAGAAAAACTTCCCCAGAATGATGAATGCCAACTTCTAAGGAAAAAAACCGTCTCTGTCATCATCTTCGTCGTCGTCGTCATCATCATCATCATCATCATCCTAGGACTTTCATTTTCTTCCTTTTGATTTATTCTTTGGTATTTTGTTTGATTTTTTGTCTTCAATACATCCAACTGAATAGTCATCTCCTCTCCCAGAGTCATTTCTTCTTAGTTTCCCTTCACAGACCAGCAGGCCTCCCAGAGATATGAACTTGAACAAGGCATAAAAGATGCAATAAGACTAAATGCTCATATCAAGTCCAGGCAAGGCAATCCAGTAGGAAGAAAAGATGCCCAAGAGCAGGTGAAAAAGTCAGAGACACCCACCTCCAACTCCCACTGTTAGGAGTTCCACAAAAACCCAAGGTAACAACCTTAACATATATGCAGAGGACCTAGTGAAGACTCCTGGCAGTTCTGTGATTGCTGCTTCAGGCTCTATGAACCTCTGTGAACTCTACCTGATTCCATGGTCTGTGTTCGCCTGGTGTCGTTAACCTCTCTGGCTCCTCCTCTTCCTCTTCCTCTTCCTCTTCCTCTTCCTCTTCCTCTTCCTCTTCCTCTTCCTCTTCCTCTTCCTCTTCCTCTTCTTCTTCTTCTTCTTCTTCTTCTTCTTCTTCTTCTTCTTCTTCTTCTTTTTGTGGAAGAATTTGGCTGTGGGTCTCT